CCACAACCTGTGCCCGTGACAGTCCTACCATACTGTGTTGTGTTGTCGGTATAGCGACTGGCTACGGGCTGGACGACAAAGGAGTCGGAGTTCGAGTCCTGGTGGGGGCAAGAATTTTCACTTCTTCATGTCGTCCAGAGCGGCTCTGGGGTTCGCCCGACCTCCTATCCAGTGGATCCTCCCTCACCCCACCGTCTAAACTTATGATCATTAAAATGACTAAGGACTAAAACAGGCCGCGCCATAGCTCAAGCGGTTAGTCGCTGGCTTCCCACCTAGGCGGCCCGGGTTCGATCCCAGGTCTGGTCAAGTGGGATTTGTGGTGGACAAAATGGCGCTAGGGCAGGTTATCTCCGAGTACTTAGGTTTCCCCTGCCAATCTTCATTCCACCAATTGCTCCACAATCACCCTCACCTATCATCTGGGGCTGGTACAATAGGCCAGACGTGGCCGCAGTACAAGGGACTTAGTCCCACCCCACTAGCAATAAAAAAAAAGGACTAATACAGATTTCACTTCCGGAAGATGTTGAACATTTTCTTTGTCACCACATCCGGATCCGCCTTCCTCCTACCCAGCCTTCTGGCCAATAAATTGATAGTGTATTTCCCTGGTTTCAAGTGGCCGGAGAGCAATGCTGAATAGTCACTCCCACTTGGTGATTATGTTAACCTTGCATGGAGTTTTACCTCCATTCCTCTAAACGTCTTCTTGATATGGCTTATTGTCCTTTAGTCCAAACTTGCGAAGTGTTTTCCTGTTGCTTGAAACGTTCGAAGCGGAAAGCTGAACACTTTATGTCGAGGTTAAAAACACTTCCAACTTCAGCTTCACTCCCCCCTCATGACGCATTATCTTCTGTCAAATGGGTTTAGATAGATTGTCCCAGGTTTAAGGAGGCTGAAATGTCAGACTAACGGGAAACCTTCAATTTTACTGTAACAGACTTCTTGGATAATGACGTTGGATTTGATGTTCTCGCAGCGATGATTACAATGAGTACTCTGCTCTGTGATATGGTACCCTCTAGTCCGGTGGTTTCCCGACATTCCGGAGAAACGTACTGCCTCCATCTTCAGGGTCTGATTTCCTCCTGCGTCTTGCTAGGCTTCCTCTTCCACCGTAAAAATGAAATCATTAGGACTTTCCGAAATGTTGGTGAGCTTCTACCGGACTACACGGCGTAAATTCCATAAAATAATGTTCCTTATTTCCCCCTCCCCCTTGGCACTACAGCCCCAGTGGGCCTAGGTCTACCTCCATGAACTTCTCCGTTCACTTCGGTTTTTCTAGATCTTACACATTCGGTTGGACTCCTTGGGCGGGTGATCAGCTCGTCGCAAGGCCTCTACCTGTACACAAACACAGAAAAACGCACACAGACATCCATGCCCTGAGTGGGATTCGAACCCACGATCCCGGCTTCTGAGCGAGCGAAGACAGTGCACGCCTTACACCGCTCGGCTACCGTGACCGGCAGTGTTCCTCATTAGACAACTATATTGCATAACTCGGTAATTAGTGTGGCTCTACGGACCTGCAGTTCGATTAGCGCCTTGCTGCAACTGCCTATCCGAGAATGTAACATGCCAAGTCTAATTGCGTCTATGACGAGAAGTCCTGAGACTGCACAATCTTATTTTTGGCGCTGAATGTGAAGACGCGCCGGTGCAGATGTGTTGAAGGGACGAAGGCCCTCAGATCAAATAAAACAACATTCAATATAATAGAAATTGCCAAATTCAACATAATTGTTTAAAAAATTCCTTATGTAATTCCTTATATGGGGGCACGCGGTAACGTAATTGGTTGGGGCACTATGCTACAAGCCGGAAAATCTGGGCCTCGATTCCCGATGAGTTATTAATTTTTTTTTCAGTTGATCTAATCCTTCCAGCCGCACTATGGCCCCTGGGTCGACTCAGCCTCTAACAGATATGAGTACCAAGAAGCTTCCTAAGAAGTAAAGGGCGGTCCGCGCGTAAGACTGAAAATCTTGTCGCCATCTGCGCCATCTGTAATCCGATTTTATAGAAAATGTGGGCGCTTCCACGTCTCACAACCGTATGGGCCTTCGCGGCCTGTTAGAAGGATAGCTTTAGCTTTTTTACCTTTATGATTCCTTACATGTTCCCAGTTACAACACCATTTCGAAGAACGAATCGACTGACTGAAAGTAAACGGTGTGAATTGTCGATATTAAATAGTATTTACTTATTAGTATTTGTTCAACCGTTCAAGGAATTTCATCCCACAGAGACTGAACAAATTTGCTCAAGCGGTAACGCTTCTGACTTCTATTCTGGAGACGGCGGTTTCAAACCCCTCCCGGGGCCCCATCTTCTTACTATTCGAAATTATAGGCCTAAAATTTGAGTTGCTCACAGCAGTTCGAGGAATTCCACGCTACAGAGAACGAACAAGTTTTCTTGATCGCCACAGTTTCTGACTTGTATTCGGAAAGTGCCTGCTTCGAATCCCGTCCGGGACACTAGCCACACTCACCCACAATGATTCTGAGATATAACGCCTTCTTGTCCTATGAAATTCAACCTGTTTCATATTGGTATCTTGCTTGGCTTAATCTTCGACCTTAAATATAGAGATGACTTCTACTAGACCACACGGCGCTACATCCCAGTAGCTAGACCTCTTCATATTCACCACCATGAGAGCCTTGGGTCACCTTACTGCCTGCTTCATGCTGGATCCTTGCCTCGCTTACACTTTGACCCTGAAGATGAAGGCAATATGTTCTCCCGAAACGTCTCTTGACTTGTTTCTGACTACATGGCGTTACATGACAGAAGACATGACTCTGTAGTCATCACTGTGATGATCTCGGATGCAATATGCTGATTTTAACGAGTTATTCGAAAAATGTGGCTGCATATATATTTAATTACACCAGGAGAGTTTCCTTCCTCGTGTTTGCTAATTTGATACCCATGAACACTCTGAGATACTGACGTGGGTCTCATAAGCGGTCTCTCCCCTTCGGTTTTCCGGCGACGTTTCGTACGCGCATTTCGTTTCTTCCGCCCGCAAACTTAAGTTTATTGTATGCACTCGCCAACTTCATTCTTCTTATTTGCCTTGCAGTAACAGTGTCTGGCCTAGAACACAAATTGTGACGGTCTTCTCTGTTTCTGAGTGTCCAGCCTTGACATGTCACAGAAAATATTTAAGTGAAATTATTATAGATTGCTAATTGCTGGTGTTATTGATAAGTTGGAGAAGATGTAAAGGAATGGATCATGCCTATTTTGAAGCACTGTCCTTGTATTTTCTTCAATGGTCTCAGTAAATTTACGAACCTCAGTCAGCATAGCAAGCATTCGCGCTGGGATCAACCACTGCAATAGAGTTGCAATGAAACAATGCATGTAATGAATTATAGAACACTTCATTAATAACTAATGACAGCTATATGGAAATTTCATGCCTGTTTCGGCAGGTGTGTACGTTGAAACGATGTGGCCTTCTGTGTTGCCTCCCTTAGCACACAACACCATATATGGCCTTAACCGCTCTCCACTGCTCCTATTGGTCCGTTCTCCCTAACCACCCCCCCTGCCTAATTCGTATATAAGCAGCGCCTTTCACTTCCCATCACTACAGCTACTGCTCTCTGCATTCCAAGCCATTCAACTGCTCTGAAGATGGAGGCGATACGTTCCTCCGAAACGTCGGCCAAAACGAAGAATACACGGCGCCTAAACCCAGAAGATGACTTTCTTCAATGTGAGATTTGTATGAGGAAATTTCTATATTGCATTAACATATTTTATTATCTCGTTCTCAGGGTCAGGAGATGTTGGGATCAAATGCGGTAATATTCATATGCTATAAAAGATAAATATTTACAAAGATGGATGGTTAAAAAACAAAACAAACCCCGTGGCTTTAGTCCGCAATTGAACTATACTGACCGAGTGACCGCCGCTTGTCGGCGAAGTTAGTGCCAACTTTAGCGGATAGAGGGTGTCGAGTGGTCAGGACAACGAATCCCCACGGTTTTCTAGACCAGGGCCGTTTCTCAATTATCCTCACGAGGTAGAACAATTACTTCTCAGAAAATCTGGTAGCGCCGGGAATCGAACCCGGGACCTCAGGATTTGTAGCCAGGAACTCTGACCACTATACCACAAAGGCGGTCCGATGGATGGTTATTGAAAGTGTTAATCTCACAGTGATGTGGAAATATGATAGTTACGAAAACAGGATTATTTNGATATATATATATATATATATATATATATATATATAATGCAAAGATTCTTTTTATTTGTGGTTTTATCAAGTGAGACACAGATAATACTTATGAACTCAGGTAACACATTCATCTTAAGCATTGTACATACATAGGTCATACTAAGAAGCATACAGATAATTGGGAAGATATTAAGTGTATTTCTATTTGTATCTGAAATGTTTCAGTTGTCAAGAGTTGCATTAAATTGTTCCAGAATAATGCCCTCTGGAGACGTTCAATTTCCTTTCCACTTTAATTCAAGTAGATTTAAAACGAATGTTTTTCAGGTATAGCTGGTTATTTCCCTTCTGGAGCTATCAGAGTGCACTGGGACCCGCTTTTTGTTGATGTTGCTTCACGGGGAACTCCACCGTCTCGCCCGAGTTCACTTCATTTTTGCATATATTGAAAAACATAACATTGAATGTTATTTTCTTGTTATTCATGAAGAGTGGTTTTATTTAGATATTACGCAGTTCATGGACTACCTTATTTATTAAAATCAACAATAATATTTTTAATAACATAAATTTGACTTCTTCACTCCTTCTTGAATCCTTCCAGATATTAGGAACTAAATGCCTTTGAATTAACACAAGGCTGAGATTTTGCAAGTCTGCTAGCTGTTAATCAACTATTAAGAAGTTCTGGGTGGATAGAAACTTAATTAGTGGTTTANCACAATCACCCTCACCTAACATCTGGGGCTGGTACAATAAGCCAGAAGTGGCCGCAGTACAAGGGACTCAGTCCCACCCAACTAGCAATAAAAATAATTGTATAACGACTCCTAATTATATGCATTTGTATTAAATAGCTTACCGTTAATTGTTCTCATGATTATAGAGAATATAAACATAAGAAACTAACCACGCATTCAAATTTATCACATGTTATGTAAATTTCTTCCATTCTTATTTTTACTTTTAATATATTTTATTAATTTTCACTACAAGAAAACTATAAAGAAGACACGAAACAAGACAGCGCTAAAGGGGGTCTCAGTATACTCCTATCATAATAATCATTAACAAGGATCGATACAGAACATACTGAATGTCTGACCGCGAGAAAATTCCGGGACGTTTCTTGCTGTTTTCATTATCTTCCACCGTGCGGTATGGAGCAAGCTTATTCTGTGGCTGGTGCGATGCTCACCCCGTCTTTCTTCTGTTCGGCTTCATATCTGATCCTATAAGCGCCAGACGGATCGTATTTGGCTTCTAGATTCTCCCAGTCTTCCTTCTTGTTATCGATAAGGAAGTGAATGATTTTAGTGGAGCCAGCTTTCTGTTTATCGCTGCATTTGGAACAGTCTGTCTCCAGTGCGTCCGGAAGAGTGCCTGCCACAAACAGATATTATTATCCTTTATGAAGCAGGATTATCAAACAAGTTATTATAAAGTTATATTTAGGCCTACCTGGAGTCGACTTTCCTTATTTATGTTGAAGATTTACTGAAGCTAACGCCTTAACCGTTCTACCTGTTTACTTCCATTCGTCTCACCGGAATAGCTTTAAAATAACAGGTGGATTGGTATGAAAATTAGTATGTGTATTATGTTACGAAGTGTCATCTTAATTTTATACTCCGTAATACCACAAATAATACCAATATTCGGTCATAGAGATTTTAAGGTGGCAAAAATATTAGCACTTCTTAATA